ACAGATTCGCTTCACACGGTAATAGTAATTATCTAACCGGGAGAGACTTCATAACGTTATGAATAATATTATTATTACTGCGTGGAAACCGAGTAAAACGGCGACGGCCAGTCGATCACCCATCCGTCGACACGCGGAAACACGGCTAATAATATTTTTGTGAATGAAACTCTTGAGAACAACATATGCAGGCATATTATAATAGTACAATCTCTCCCGTGTGGTACCTGTGTGTTTTTAATAGGCTATCGCCCGAAGAGATTTAATGATGACGATTTTTCATGAGAGTCTGCCCGTTTTTTTTATTAATATTATTATATTTTTTGAAAATATTAAATTAATAACACAATATTCGTTAAACATTATGGCCCACGGGGTTTTCCGAAAACGATTAACGCGACCATTATGTAAATTTACCGTCGGTTACAATATTGTTTTCTTATTATTATCTCGAAAAATCGCCTCTCGAACAAACAGAATCCGGTATATGTACACCGATTTTACAGTTATGCGAATACCCCGGGTGTGTGTGTGTGTATGTTTAAGTATATGTGTGCCTGGGAGAGGATACCTTACCGGCGATTATGCATATTAAATGTAGGCATAGCCGGTACCTACCTGTCGGGAATCACGTCTCGTTGTCCGACTCCAGTGCAGCGATAACCTATTGAAAAAGAAAAAATATAAAATATATCTATTCAAAAAAAACACCTATCGGGTTCAATCCAAGAGAACTGCCGACTTTTGATACTTCGACCTAACCGCTTTTGATACCAAAAACAAGTCTGGGAAACGATATTTATTTATGGAAACTTGAAAAGTTGGCAATAATATTGGTTAAGAAGTTTTCCGATTTCGAGGGGGGAAATAATGGATATTTTTTAAGTTATAAACCTGCTTAAGTCTCTGTTGTGAGTATGATTTTCGACAAATAACAAAAATACAATTTTATTATTCAAATTTGAATGGGGTAACGTTTCGAAACGTTGGCGAACCAGTCAAGACATCCAAATGGCAGTTACTACCGCAAGGCGTGTAAATGAAATTGTATTATTAAAAAAATAATATAATCAACTATAGATTAAAATTAACATCGTCATTTTTTACCAGACCTAATATTAATACCGTGATTCGAGTGAGCAGCTTTAGGGGTGGAAACACTCCTCGAAAATATTTACTACATACTATGCAATCCGTTTTTTTTTTTTTAATAATATTATTCATTATCCGTTTGAATTCCTATTGATTGATGCAATCTCTATGAAAGTACATAAATCTGCCACCCAGGTGCAATGTGTCCTTAATGTGTTTTCAATTTAAAAACTGGCCGGCCAAAATTCCGACGTAGGGTCCATTTGGGTACAGATAATAGTATTAAATTTTATCGTCTTTCCCAAGGACACACTTCGTGTTGTCTTTCTTTAGCGGGTCGTCGAAGTGAAATTAGTAAGTGGATCGTTTAACAAGAACAAATTGTGGTCGACACGACCGCAGAAATTGTGTACAGGACATATCCAACACGCGTTCCAAATGTGTTATGTAAATCTATTTCTAGTCAGTGTTTTAACGATATTTTCCTGGTAAATACATATATTTTGTGAACCGAGAAAAAGTGTTAAATAATATAAATATTAGAAAGAGTACAAAATATAATAACATACTCAAGGTCTAAGTACCCGTCCGTTTCGAAATCAATTGCCTCGTTAAGTGTAAAACTTGTGAACTGCTATAATATTATATTATATTAAATTGTACAGGAATTTGAAACAACACATCATTATTATTGTTGTTATTATAATTAATATTAGTATTTACTTAAGAATCTATAAGTCGTACAACGCCTTTAGCAAAACGCGGATCGAAATGATTTGTGTTTTTTTTTAACAATTTTTAGTAAAAAAACGCGTCTAAGCTTCGCGTCGAAGCTAAAAAACTGACTCCAGCAAAATGTCATATTGTGTTACTACAAAGCGACTGCGTTCAATTTAAGGAATTCGTTCAAATAACACAGACGACGGAATTTTACCGACCTCTACTTTACTTAGGGATCAATTATTGGAGAAACTGTGGCGAAAGGATCATAAAAGGTCAGTTGGAGTCCAATTTGTTTCACTTAGAACGCATGTCCCTCCCCCCTCTTCAATAAAAAAAAAACACAGGATTCTACGATTTTTGCAATTTGTTAGAGTTTATTTTCAGCTGAATTTAAAATTTGTCACACCGCGAATTAGCTAATATTGAACAAGTTCGGACAAGGACGATATTATTATTTTGCTAGACTAATGATGCTTAAGTATAAAATGGTTAAGAAGACGAATGAACCGGATCGGTTGTAGCATTTTATAAATGATTTTTAAACACTTATTCAGAATAACGTTACATTAACCCAAATAGATGTTAACTATACCTTTTAATAATAACAATTATAAAAAGAAGAAGAAGAAGAATTGTTTTTTTGCGCCCATTAGGACAATAGAGTGTAATTAATACAGAATATATTAAATATCAAATTTTGCAATTATTTAAAAGAAAAATTAATAAATTACTCGTCAACTATAATTATAATTTTTCAATCCAACTTCCCTTTAGAACAAAATTAATGTTTTATATTATGTATAAATATGTGCCATTTGGATTATTATAAAATAATCCATTATATGTGTTCTTTTAAAATGTTCTAGATCTCTACAGACTAGGCCAGTATAGTTTTGCAATTTCAAATTCAATAAAACAAATATCGCATTCAGTATATTCACGTATCTTATCTAGAATAAACAAACAAAAATTAGTCGATAAAATAATTTTTTGTTAAATTTCTAAATCGGCGGCACCTACCTAGATCTATATATTCAAGTGTTTCAAAAGTGGTGAGTATAGTTATTGGAAATTGTATTATTTAAATAATAAACATTTTAAATAAATAGCACAAAAACTAATAGATTACTAATAACCTACTATATTTTTTCTATTTTCCTTTTATTTTTTAGAACCATGTGGTTTTTTGGAATTTGTAATACGTTTTCACGAGACAGACAGGACACACCGTCAAGAAAGTCTGTCAATTTTGAAAATAAATGCCAATATAATTTTAACTATAATATTTACTCTCTAAAATGTTTCATATAAATACTTATACTTAAAATATAAAATACCGAAACCCTTGCGATATTACAAAATGTCAACCGCGTTACACAACCGTTACAGGTGATTCATGGGGTCTTTCTTGTAGACGACATGCATCGCTGCACATTGCACCCTGTATATAAGTTTCCTGTATATAGTGGCCAAAAATCAATAGGCCGGAGATGCACCGACGGAAAAGGGGAGGGGGGATGCTGTGGCTTTCGAAAGCTGTCGGTAGTATCTATAAAATATACTATTATTACAACATCAACTCGGTTTATTGCGCAAGACCCTTCTGTATACCGTGTAAAGTATCTTCTATAGGAGGGTTTAATATGCTTTTCCTCGTAAGAGAGTCTACCTGAATTTTTACCTGAAATGTAATTTTCAGCCGTCTGTTTTTTTTTGCTATCCGTTGTATACGAGCAAATGACACTATCTATGTACACAGTCTATGGTAATATGTTTAACACACTGGCTGCAAGATAATTTTTACCAAACGCGACCAAACTATTATGGTCAAGAACTTTAATTACTAAAACATCTGAACGACTGGTACCAACGACGGAGTCTGGAAATGTGCTTTTTGGACGCTCCAGAGTATGACATTTCTGATAAAAAACACAGATACTGCTCGAGTAAATCGGTACAGACTAAAACTCAAGTAATACAAATCATCGAGTGAATCTGTATTACTTGGTTAGGTCAAAAAAATTATGTGACCTGAAACGATGAAACCTGATGACTTGTGTGACAAACACTGACTTTTTAATAAGAACCCAACAGCAAAAAAAAAACCACAAAAGACAATGCAATAAGAACAATTAGCTATATTGTTTTGTACAGCAGCTTGTGACTCATATAAGCTCGGCGGGTGGCAAGCGTTTGAATAAAGGATTTGTCAATGCAAATTATGTGATAACTTCGGTTTAGAATTATTATTTGTTTCTCGAATTTTATTTTCCAACCGAAAGGTGGTAGAATATTTTTCAGGGTCGATCGGCTAGACACAATATCACCCCCAGCGGACTGGGGTTGTTTTGTGTGCTATATTAAAAAATAACATTGAGCTACACTGGAATAAGAGTTAAAAATGCCTATAAACGGTTATGGGAAGTAAAAACCGAAAAAAATGCATGGTGTATAAATATAACAATGAAGCATCGGTGGAGATTAGGGGGCTGGCTTGGGTTTCCAAGAACTTTAAAACTAAAGTGCTACGTAAATCAGTCACTAAATAACTAAATTATGCAATAAATAAATATTAATAAATGCAGGTATTTTGAAAAGCTTAAGTTTTAAGATTTTTTAGTATCCCCCCCTCCTATCCCAATCTCCGTTAATGTAATGAAGTAGTTCGTTGATGAAAACATTGTTGGTATTTCTTTATAATTGTGCGGTTTTAGTTGTGCGTGTAAACCAGGTAATTGTCCTCCGTCCAGTTAAAGACCTATCTCGAGAGAAGGGGGGGGATGAAGGTTTGCGCGTGGCTACACACAAAAACCACCCTTATTGCTCATGTGGATCGCAACGGCATGACGACAAAACCCTGTTGTAGTAGCATATATCGGCTAGCCGATACGGCCGGCGTAATTAAATCGGCCGGCGTCGCCTCCGCCCGATCTTGAACTTGACAGAGACCGAGGGCACGGGCAAAGGGGTGAAGGGTAACGGAAAGTGTCTCGGGCGACAAGCGACGGCGGCGGCTGCAGCGTCCGGCGTTCCCCCCCTCGAGCGCGCGCGCGCACAAGCATATATACGATACCGTAGGAGGCGGCGGCGGCGAGGACTGCTAAGAGGTGCTGACGGGGGTGGTGGTAGGAGAAGCATAGCCGATGTAGTGTAAACTGTAAGCTGGTGTGTTTGTGTGTGTGCGCGCGCGAAGAGGAGCTGCTCCGACGAAGAACACCGGTGCCCATCATCAGTGGTCGTCGGTTCGTTGTCCGGTAACGCCGCCGCTTGCAGCTGTCAGATCACACACACGTACACGCGTCCCCGTACCGGCTGCTGTGTAGATCACAGTCGTCGTTTGCGATACTCCCAGATCGTACACACGCGTCTTCGCAGCCGCCCGTTATTACTGAGTATTATACATTCTGCCGACCCGAATAAACGTTTGGGTTTTTTTTTTTTTTTTTACATAAATTTGCGAATTTTTGTCATCCCCCAAACGGAACAGGCCGTCCGGCGTGCCACCAAAGGACAGTCGGCGCGTTGTCCGACCCCGCACGTGTGTGGATACCACCGACAGGAGGACCAACGCTTATTATTAGGTTAGTAAAACAAAAAAAATTATACTTAAACATTTTTTTTTTTTTCAATATAATTTTTACCTTACTTGACAGCTATTTTTTATTTTGTTTACTCGCGTTAAACCTGCCAGGAGATTTTTGAATACTCAGGTTTAAAAAAAAAATTGCTTAAACCCTCCCCACTCTCCCCCGTTTTAAGATTTTGACTCTGAGATAAAATAATAAGTATCGAATTGCACAGATATGGCGAATATTTACGCATGAAAAAAAATACCATACAGTTTTATATACATAGATTTCGCGTTTTGATCGCGAATAGTGGTAAATTGTATTTTAAGTACCTATCCGAATCTGATGTGACTTAAATAATATGTATTTTTTTATTAAAATTAATATTTAACCCTTTTATGACAAATGCCTTGACGCATGTTTCGAGGACTGTTACATTGTTTTATCGTTTTTAGATAATTTAAAAATAAAAAATGTTTATATATATATATATATATATATAATTTGTCATTATTGCAAAGGGCTGGGTGACCAAAAAAGAGTTGACAAAAATTATGGCCAACGGTCAAACTGATGTAATCGCGGTATCGTTTTTGCAAATAGTATGAGAAAACATTACTGCGATATTTGTATTGGCAATAATAATATAATGTAATATTGTTGTACTCCACACAACAATTTTTTTTCTAAAAATGTTTTGAATCAAAATTAAAATTGGGGTTCTGGACTCCAGAAAGTTGTGTTAGTAGTTTTATAAAAATAATATTAAAATGTATGTTTACTAAAAAAAAAACATACTTAAGCCATAAGGATCAAGTAACTTATAAGAATTTTACCATTTTTTTTATCACTATCGTGAAAAGTTTACAAGGAAAAAGCAACAAACATTTTAACAAATGTTATCAAGTATTTGAAAAAGAAAAAATGTTAACTTTGAATTTTCAATTTTATTACTATATTATATCTTCAAGCTTACACCTTATGTATCTTCGATAAAACGATAGATTTATTATAGCCTTATCATAGATTTTTGAATGGTATTGTTTTAATATTATAAAAATTCAAAATCTAGTGTACTCAGTTTGATTGTAAAAAAAAATGAAAGGTTGAGGTGTCGATAAATTGGCAAATTCATTAAAAACTAACCGCGTTGGATCGAGACAAATCTCTCTAATAAACCGATTGTTGGCCGGCGCTGCAGCGAATATTAATAATTAAACCTGCAATCTTGCTACTTTGTATGCGACCCGAGAAAAAGTAATTAAATTGTGTTTGGCCCGTAAGAATATCGTCCAAAGACAACACGTATAAGTCGTACACGGCCTTATTATAATAATACTATGTGTGTTCACAAAAATAATAATAATACAAATATTGTATATTATCATTTATAATATGTGTTTTTGATATATTAAACGCGCCTTTCAAAAAAAATTAACAATTCGCATACTTACTTTTTTTTTCTCTGTCGACCGAGTTGTATAAAAAATAATTGCAAGACCGTTTTACAAAAGTATAAAATGTAGGTATATATCTATATACACACATTAATCGCTGTAATAGTAATTTATATTACTTATATTGACATTAGACATATATTATTAGAGGGAAATATCTAGATACATAATAGGCAAGACTCTGCAACGGCTGAATGCACAATATATTATTATTATTATCATCGCCACCGTCATTGCTCATTACTATACTTGCAAGCGTTGCTGCGCCAGTCGTCCTCTGCGCGGAAATTCGGTTGATTTGTAATAAATATTTTTAAAAAAAATTGCTGGTTTTTTTGGTTTTGCTTTTCATTTACGACCCGAGTGCAGTAGTCGACTGGTTTAACTCGAATCGACTGGCGGCGGCGACCAAATCCTACATTTTGGCCGGCCAACGCGATTTTAGTTAATGATTAATTTTAATTAGTCGCTGTCATTACGTTATACTGTATTATAAATAACGAGCAAATGGTAATTGCAACTAGTGTCGAACTCCTCATTTTTACAATTATAATATTTTATGATAATTTTCACGGTAGTTTTAATGTTAACAAAATGTATTCACATGATCATTTAGGACAGAAAATCGAATATTACCAACACATTTTTTACAATAACATTCCCTGTAATATAAAATTATTATAAACGCACTAACTGTATTTTTTACTCTAAATACTTTCCAATGCCTCAAACGAATCTACGCACTCGAAATATATCCAACCAAACCTCAACAAACTATTTGTATCTATTTCTGTGTATGCATTTTCATCATCTGTTCTATGTCGCTGTGTGGATAACATCTATTAGGTACTTGTTTGACTGCTAACTGTTATTTCTCGATTGCCGGTAATTAAATTACGAAGTTAACATTTAACTTCACTGAACTTATAAATTCATGTTTCTCTTAAACATCATTTATTTTCGAAGTCAGTTCGATGTAGCATCGATTTAATGTAATACTATGGCTGGATATTTTTAATTAAGTTCAATAATCTTATTATTTTTGTAATCTCATTAGTCTCCACATTAATTAGCTGTGATTATTTGTAAGAAATCATATAAAAGGCCTGAAAACTACTTATAGTGGCAATATTATTCAACGAGTTTATGTCCAGTTTTATAATATTTTTATAAAAACACTTTGTATAATATAATATTATTATCCAATTTGTATAAAAAAAATTTTCGAGTAACGATTAAAAGTAAATACACAATTAATGACATCGCTGTAAATAGTAAACATTTGTAACATTTTTTATTTTTTCGGTATCTTGCAAATAATAACCACCGTTTACATTCACCACTTCAAATACTTATATATTTATATTATTGTAGTATAGTCATAGGTAATATTAGTTAAAATACCAACACTAGAATAAGCATAAAAAATTGTAAAATAGTATTTCGTATAACCTACTTTAAAATGCAATTCTGCAAATACAACAAAACAATAACATTAGCAATAAATTAGGCTTAGACAAATACCACTTGAGAAAATGTTTACAAATGCCAAAGGGGACTCTGTCGGTGCGTCCAAAGGCAAAGTAATGCAAGATGGTGTGTGGGCAGCTAACTGGTGTAATTAGATCCCACTGACAATCGAATGATTAGGAGTACACTGGCTAATTACAGTACACCATGATAATTTGGATCAGTCACTGGCCTGGATTTTTCGATTAAAGCTAGAATTTTGATGGCTCTTCTAAGATTTTTCAATGTGCGAATGTCACATGCATAACGAATCGCATATATAACACAGGTGCCTGCGCGGTGTTCGTTCTTGGAACGACGTTTTTGTGTAAAATAAATAATAATATTAGATACATTAAACTCGATTAAAAAACACACATACGACCGTCCCCACAATCGTACATGTCTGTCCGCGCAAAAAAAAAAAAAATACCAACTTACCTTTATTGTATAAAAAAAAAAACACTTTAAACCCTTTGACGTATTGAATTAATGAGACGATTTTAGTTTACACATCCTGTCAAAAAAATTATGTATTATTCGTCTCAAATCTAAAGACGTTAATCCTAAGGCGACAATAACACACGGAAAAGTAATAGCTTTTCCTTTAAATTGACTTCCGAGTTAATTGGTTATGTAAATATCGGAGATTTGAACATGATATAATATAATATGTAACTCAACTATAATTTAAAACATTCGATCAATATAACCATCGAGTTAAGTTATAAATCATAAACTTGCCCAGCCTTGTGAATAATAATAATATACTGTATACCTACCGGACATCGTCTGCGCGTTATTGAAAAAACCCACACGCTGCCTAAACAAAAAAAAATATTTATATAAATAAAATATACAATTTACCGTTCTTTAATGAAAAAAAAAAGAAACAATATTGACGGATTAACAGCAGACTCGGAAAACGGTATTTACACGAGAAAAAAAAACACATACACATTTTTGCATTACATAATGTAAAATCATAATTTTGACTATATTCGACGATTCACGATTTATTTTTTTTCACCGATCACAAACAAATCGCGAACCGCCTTGTCATGGCATCGACATAATATAATAGTATTATAAAATATTTTCAGAAAACACAATAAGATTCACAGTGTATTAGAATATTATATTATGCCCCGTTAAGTGAGCCGCGCGTCGGTCGTGTATTTAAAATAGGTATAGGGAATAATATATTATACACACAAGCGTCGAGTTAAACCTAAAGATAAAAAAATATGTAGGTATATTCACACAATGAGGCATTTCTATTTTTCTCGTTTACAATCGAAATATGTATGTGTGTGTGTGTGTGTGTCTGATAAAGTGCCAACAATGATAGGCAATTGTGTGTTGTGTGTGTGTAAAAACACAAATCAACAGCGTGCCACGGTTATAAGAGACTGACATTATATGTACAGTAATTAATATTACCCGCAACGTTTATCACTATATTTTTTTTTTCCATTAATTAAAATATAATAGGTTTTCACAACATTATCGGTATGCGATCAAACATCATTATAATTATTAATGTTTTTTTATAATAATTTTGAGACAGAATTTATAAGAGTTGCCACCAAAACCACCAAAACGAATTAGCGTTCGTTTTTTTTTTGCTTATTTAAGACCTAAACAATATTTAGCATTTTTCCTAAATCATTCCATATGCATAATATCTCTGGGAAGGCTACCTGGGAAACCTTTCAAAATATAAAACAGCTTTAAAGGAACTCGGCTTTACTTTTTATTAGCCATTATTATTTTTTAAACACTAATAGGTGTTAATCGACAAACATACAACCCTAGCCGTTGACATTGGCTTTGAACTTAACAAAATCAAGTGTAATATAAATAATTAATTACCGGCCAGCCTTGATGACAAATAACAACATTGCATATATATGCACGCTATAATCGCGAGGTTAAAGGAACAATCATAAAAGGCACTTACCAGCATTGTACTTTTACTCTTGCAGCTATTATAGTGACCAAATCCAACCGAACCCGTTTTCCGCGCACGTTTCAAACGATAGG